TTAAAATCCAAACAAACCCATGTGCCACTCAATTATTCTCCCAACTTTACAGTTAATCTTTCCATCATCAATTTCGGCTTTGTGCTTGTGGGCGTGCCTTAAATTTATGTTTCTTGAACTGTTTCCCCATTATAAATCAGTGTCGATCTTTTTTGCTGTCTTGGGGAAAATAATTGATGGGTTTTTTATGTTGGAGTATAATATATTGATTGTGCTGTGAGATTTCTAATTGCTTTGGGTTGAAATATATTAGGGCACTAATTTATATCTGGTTATTTATTTGTCTTGTGTTGAATTCTTGAAAATGGATCCGAATCTGGTAGGAGATGATGATGTGAAGCACCATTCTGATGTTGGGGATGTTAGTTCCCCGGGATCTCAAGAAATCGAGAAAATCGAGGTTGGTGATCGAGAGGCAAACAAAGAAGCAGGGGAGGGTATAATTGTAATTCAGAGGGAAATCAAGAATGGGAATGAATCGGATGGTGGTTCATCTGAGAGCTCGAGTAGCAGTAGCAGCAGTAGCGGTTCGGATGACGAGTCCCACGGTGTAAAGGGTAGTGAAGATGTAGCGGATACTAGCCCGGTTGATTCGGTGCAGGTCACTGATGAGGAGATTATTTACAGCACTGCCATCGAAGATTCGTGTGATTCGGTTGAGGAGATTATCACGGTGAATGTTGAAACGGTGGAGGAGAAGGAAGTGGTAGTGAGTACAGATTCTCCAGCCGTTGACTATGCGCCACCTCGTGTAGTTGAACCTGTGTTGAACGAAGAAAACGAGGAGAAGCAGGGGAGTTGTTCTGTTGGAGGCGAAGTCGGGTTTCTAGAAGCTTCGGTTGATGCTATTATTGCGTCTGTCGAAGGTGAAGCTCGAATATTGGAAGCTTCTAATGATGCTGTTAAGCCCGCTGATACATTTGTCGACACTGTTATCTCGATTCCTGAGACAAAGGAATGTGTTGTAGCACAAGAAACTGAAGATAACGCTGCGGGCATCGAAATAAGTTCCGGAGTTACCGAGGTGCTTTTTCTTCTTTTTTTCTGAATTCTTGATTTTTTTTTATTTATGTCTTAAAATATTTTTCTTATTTATTTTTAAATATTTTTGCAGCCATTGCTAGCGCGGGCCCCACGTCCAGTCGAGGCGACGTCTTGGAAGAGTTGCTGTGGACTGTTTGATCTGTTTTCAGGGTCTGGTAGATAATTCAAGGTTAGTATTCCTTCATTAAAATTGATTCTTGAAATTATAAATTAATTTGCTTCCTTCGTTGCATTTGTAATGTTCTAGCATGTAATCCTGTAATGAAAATTAAAGAAACTAAAACGAAGTTTCCGTTAGATACCACATTTCGAAAACAAATTTTCGACTCTCAATGTATTTGCTAAATCGTACTATTTTTTGTTGGTGCAGAAACGGAGCAATGTGCCTTGTTCGTACAAAAGCTGGAAAAAGAGTCGTTTGCGAATCGTTCTTCTTTTACATTCAAATTCCGAAGAATAATTTCGCGGCGGTATTTTGTCGGTTTCTATGTAGAAAGCAGCTAAGAGCTAGTTCCTACAATACTTTTGCGTTTTCTCGTTCATTTTGATTTTGCAGTCGATAGATTGGCTTTCGTTTTGAGTGTGATACAACTATTTCTTACGTACGTATTTTCGTATCTTTTCTTTTTGCAAATTCTATATATGTTTGTTTTGAACTATATGTAGCTCTCGTTTGATTAATGATTGGTTCGTTGGTTAATCTCGTGTGTTTCGTTCGGGAGAGAAGAAATTGATGAAGTTGTGAAACTGTATTCACTCTTTTATTTGCTTCACACAAATTAAATCAAACATATATCTGTTACAGTAATCAGACAACATACTGTCATAATCCAAGATAAATAAAAAAATTGAAATAAAAAATATAAATAAAGCACAAACCTCAAAATAGATACACACATATATACATATATAATTTTTTTTATATATTTATTGATGTTAATAAGTTCTTTTCCTTGAAGCAGCTCCATGAATGGCAGCAATGTAAAAGAGCTGAGTTGCAGACAGGATAATAATGAAAGCCTCCATTGTTCTCTGTAATAATATCACAAAATTAATTTTTTTTTTCTTCTGTAATTTATTATTTTTTTCCAATCAGAAATTCAATATTATATTAATTATTTTTATAACTCACCAAACGTGCGTTTCTTCTACCCAGATCAATCTCTTTCCATGCAAACCTTAAAAAAATCAAACATAAAAAGCATCAAGAACACATGTCTGAAGAAATCACACACACACACACACACACACAGTAATTACCCCATGGCAAGAAGTGTGAGAGTCCATGCAATGCTGGCGGCAGAGGCGGCAGAAGGCAAGCTATCGGCATCCCAATAACGAATATGGTTCAATCCCGAGATAGCCGCCGCAACTCCAACAACTCCGGCGATCAGAGCAAACACCACAAAGAATCCAGTGGCGGCGTTGCCCATCGGAAAATACACCGGTGAGAAATGTGCAGGCAGATCGTACCCAGCACCTGTTCGACAAAATTCCCCAACGAAGTCATATTTTTCATTCTAAACGTAAAAACAAATAACAAAACAGATAAAATCATAAATTTACGTACCGATTATAAAACCATGATCAATTGCTCTGTTCATCGCCCATCCACCGATGCCTAAAACAACAGCATACATGCAAAAGTTGAGGAACAGAAGAAGCCCTGCTACAGGTTTTAGCTGCTGATCTGCCATTAATTATTACAAGGATTTTCACGATTGAAGGTATGATTTCTGTGTGTGTGTGTGTTTTTTTGTGGGGATTAATGAAAGGGGTTTTTATAAATGGTGGTGGAAGAAGGGTTTTTTGGTTCTTTACTTGTAAGGCTGTATGTTCTTAAAGTAGTTGTTGTGGGGTTGTAAAGATAATGCTTTGTGTTCATGGCAGGAAAAGAATTAACATCATATATATATATATATATATATATATATATATATATATATATATATATATATATATATATATATATATATTCTTTCTTCTATAGTTAGGCTTTTCTTCAATTCTTGGAATTTACTAACAATGGAATCTTTATCTACTATGATTTCTTTGAGTGATTGACAAGCTAAAGTAAATAATAATAAAAAAACAGAATTTCAAATATTTTATAAAAAATATATATATATATATATATGTGTAGAAAGTAAGTTTTTAAAAGCTTCTATTATGACCAGAAATGCCAACATTTCGCGCCTTGTTCAAAAGCTTCTATTCCTTACACCGAAAGACTTTCACCAACTCAAGTACTCACGCTTCAATCGCTGCTGCCCGTGTAAAGAACCGAGGAGTTGGCCCCGATCGCCGACATTTTAAAGAACCCCCGTCTCACGATGTGTATTTATCCACAAAGATGATTTCTTCTCATGTCGAAAACTACAGATTGGCTGACGCACTCCACCTGTTCGACGAAACGTCTGAGAAAGACACAGTCATGTGGAATCTAATGATCAAAGGTTGTGTCACTTGCGGAAATCTAGACATGGGTTTGAGGCTCTTCAACGAAATGCCCGAGAAGAATGTCATATCATGGACTACTGTGATCAACGCGTTCTTGAAATACGGGATGATTGAAGAGGCTAAAGGGTTGTTCCGGAAGATGCCGGTGAGAGATACAGCTTCGTGGAATGCAATGGTTCATGGGTTTTTTGTAAATAGGAGAGTTGAAGAGGCAATCAAGTTATTCGAGGAAATGCCTGACAGAAATGTGATTTCTTGGACAACAATGATAAGCGGGCTCGATCAACATGGGAGAAGTGACGAGGCTTTATCGTATTTCGTGAAGATGGTGGGATTTGGGGTAAAGCCTACTTCGAATACTTTTTCGTGTGCGATAACATCTTGTGCTAATGTGCAAGATTTGTACCTTGGTAGACAAGTTCATGGGCATGTTCTAAAGCTTGGCTATGTTTCTGACATGTTCATTACTGCCTCACTAATCACCTTTTACGCAAACTGCAAACAGATTGAGGAATGTGCGAAGGCTTTTAACGAGAAGTTCCATCCGAATGTGGTAGTGTGGACTTCTCTTTTGACAGGGTATGGTGCTAATGGTAAGCATGAAAATGCGTTAGGAGTTTTTAGCAACATGATTAGAGTAGGGATTATTCCTAATCAATCATCGTTTACGAGTGCTTTAAATTCGAGCCGAGAGATTGAAGCTTTTGATTGGGGGAAAGGGATACACTGTGGGGCCTTCAAGATGGGGCTTGAAAATGACGTATTCGTCGGTAATTCTCTCGTTGTGTTGTACACGAAATGCGGTAATATATTAGATGGAGTTGCTGCGTTTAAAGAAATTTCAGACAAGAATCTTGTCTCGTGGAATTCAATAATAGTCGGATGCAGTCAACACGGTCAAGGCGAGTGGGCCCTAGCGTTCTTCACCCAAATGGCGAAAACGGGACTTAATCCAGACGAAATTACGTTCACGGGTCTGCTCAACTCGTGCAGCCATTCGGGAAAGTTCCGGAAGGGGAGACAAATATTCGAGTGCTTAACAAGATATTCAAAAGTTGAAGTGAAGATCGAGCACTATGCGTGCATGGTTGATATATTGTGTAGAAGTGGGGAATTGGATGAGGCGGAGCGTTTAGTGAAGGAGATGCCTATGGAAGCGAATTTGTCGGTATGGCTGGCTTTGCTTAGTGGATGTAGGGGCCCACAAGCTGACCTGGAAATAGCGGAACGTGCTGCGAAAAGAATCTTTTGCATTGATCCGAAATGTGGTGCAGCGTATGTACTGATGTCTAATATATACGCCTCTGCTGGAAAATGGAACGAGGTTGCGAGAATTAGACGAAAGATGAAAGAAGTCGGTACTGTAAAACAACCTGGTTACAGTGAGGCTTTCGTTTGTTTCGGATAACTCTTTTGTTCAAATGATAATTTTCAGGCATTCAATGGATAGATTGAATAATCCTGGCCGTGGGATTACATAACCAAGATCTGCAAAATCTGAGAAATAGGACACAAATGATATTAAGATTAGATGGGGAGATACAAGAAATATGTGATAACTGCCAAGTAATGTAGCAAAAGCCAGGTGTTAGGCTCACAAGAACAGAATCTTGAAACACCAGTCAAAATTCAGATACAGATTGCATCATCCTCATAACAAAAACTATCACCATCTCTGATTCCCTATCTATATATAACTACTAACTATCCAATTAACCCATTCATCATCACCTCCAACTTTCTTTAGCAATTCAAAATTTGATCAGTTCCTAGTACTGAATCAATGGCTGCCTCCAGCTCTACAATGTCGCTTTCTTCACCATCCTTCGCCGGACAGGCTATCAAGATCTCCCCTGAGATCACCGCCAACAGCAGCGGCAGCGGAAGAGTCTCGATGAGGAAGACCGCCGGCAAGCCCAAGCCCAAGCCCGCCTCTTCCGGCAGCCCGTGGTACGGCCCTGACAGAGTTAAGTACTTGGGCCCATTCTCCGGCGAGGCACCTAGCTACCTCACCGGCGAGTTAGCCGGCGACTATGGCTGGGACACCGCCGGACTCTCAGCCGACCCGGAAACATTCGCCAAGAACAGAGAACTAGAAGTCATCCACTCCAGGTGGGCCATGCTCGGAGCCCTCGGTTGTGTATTCCCTGAACTTTTAGCCCGTAACGGCGTTAAGTTCGGCGAAGCGGTCTGGTTCAAAGCCGGGTCACAGATCTTCAGTGAAGGCGGACTCGACTATTTGGGCAACCCGAGTTTGGTCCACGCACAGTCCATTTTAGCTATATGGGCCACCCAAGTTCTTCTCATGGGTGCTGTTGAAGGCTACCGTATTGCCGGCGGGCCACTCGGAGAAGTGGTCGACCCGTTGTACCCGGGTGGGAGTTTCGACCCGTTGGGTCTTGCTGAAGACCCGGAAGCATTTGCAGAGCTGAAGGTGAAGGAGCTCAAGAATGGGAGACTCGCAATGTTTTCGATGTTTGGATTCTTCGTTCAAGCAATTGTAACCGGAAAGGGTCCGTTGGAGAATCTGGCGGATCATCTATCCGACCCGGTTAACAACAACGCTTGGTCGTACGCCACTAACTTTGTTCCCGGAAAGTAAACATACAGCAGCTTTGTAATTAAATTTGTAGGCTTTAATATAATGTAACATCATGTGATTGTGTGTAAATGACTAAATGTAAATGGAAATGTGAGTTTTTGGCATTAACAACAATGTGATTTACATAAGGCAATAAGAAATTTATTACAATGGCCCCATTCTCCGGCGAAGTCCCTAGCTACCTCACCGGCGAGTTCCCCGGTGACTACGGCTGGGAAACCGCGGGACTACACTACATTGTTTGATCCTTGATATAAAGTTTCTAGCTTGAAGTCTTGGAATACATAACATGATTTAATCAAGAAAGTAAAACTACATAGCTACTATAAAAAGATTAAAAACAGAGATTGATTAATCATATTCGATATTCTTGCTTGATGAAGTTTTCCGATTCTCGTAGTACAGTTTCGACTTCTCCACCACCACCACCACTCGTTTTCTTGCAACTGTCAAGATAATGCTGATAAACATACGAAACGAATCCCCAAACCGCCAATAATGTAGAAATCACCTTAATCCCATTCATCTTTTCTTGAAAGAAAATGGCTGCCATAATAGGCACAATAGGTAAACAAACGGCACCGATGACATTCGAAAACAGCGACGAAACCTCAAACACTAATCCAACTGTTCCAATAGCGTACACTTGCCACGCCAATCCGATCATCGCCAAAACCGCCACGTAAGTTACCTTCCCCGTTTCGAAAGTTTCCATCTCGCTCCTCAAAGAACTCCACTCTCCTCTGGTAAACAGTGGTACCGTAACAACAAAAGTCGCCACCATGGATTGGTAAACTATCATTTTCAACACAGTCGAAAATGTTTCCCTCTTTAGAACCTTCTGAAAAAACAGCTGCGTCATCGACAGCATTAACGAGTACAAAGCCGAAGCAACGAGCGTGCATGAAAACCCCACCACAAAACGGCCCGTTTTCGACTTTCCATTCGGGTTTTCTCCGGTGGTATCGTCTTGGAAAATGAGTAGGGCTGACGAGACAGTGACCAAAACTAGTGCATTGAGTATCAAAGGAGTGAACTTTTGCGCGTTGAAGAAAAACGCGAAGACAGCATTGAAGCCCAATTGAGTGGAGTTGATTAACGAAAAAGTCGACACGGGCAAATTTTGAAGCCCGATAGAGTATAGAACCGCGGTCGCTGCTTGGAACAACCCGAGAATGGCGTAAACAAATGATTTGATCAGCAGATCGGAAGGCTGATTGCTAATCGGTGGATTGTTCTTGGAGAGATGATTTCGTGAGGAGAAGTAGATGGCAAATGGGATCAAGATTGGGAATCCAACGGTTTCTAAAAGGGCTGCAACTAATACGGAGTTGCCTCCCTCGGTGTAGTACAGCCTCCCGAGAAGAGTTGCGCTTGATTGTCCAACTAGGACAAAGAGCGTATAGACAACCGTCGAAACCCACCGTTTCTTGTTTTTGGGTTGAGGGATTACGCGTTCTTCATCTTCTTCGACACCTGATACCGACAAATTGGGACGAGTTATTTTTTTTTCGTTTAATGAAAGATATTTGATGTAAAGGAAAAATAATTTACCTGTCTTTTCGAAGTTCAGCTCTTGTATTTCTCCCATCTATATTCAGGAATAGGGTGGTCAAAACAGCAGGAAACCTTTTGATTTTGAATTTGGTCTGAGCATTAGCTTGTTTTTTATTTCTTATATATATATATATATATATATATATATATATATATATATAAGCAAAAATGGTTGGAGTGAGGATTTATCTGACAGCAACTGGCTTTGGGTGGTTACATAATCTTTGAGTCTCAGACGGAAATACAATCGCTATTTATGTATAGTAAAGGGTTATAAGCATGACTTCATAATCTTGGTGTGTTACAATCAGTGGATTAAAATAAATAAAATAATGTCACGTTTATTCTAGGTTTGCTTTATTATTAAATACTTTATTTTCAAATGTTGGCGCCATAATACTAATAATGGACTAAAACTTCAAATGATGTTCAACTTGAAACACCTTCATAATTAATACGTGAACAGAAGCAGCATATGACCCAAAGAAACAAAACACTCTCACGTGTTTGTTAGTAACTGCATACTAGAACACGTTTGTCGTTTCGGTCGAAATTATTTGGCGGTTGGTTTTGTGAAAATCGGTTTCAGAAGTGTTGTAAATCCGAATTGATATCTCAACCACTCGAATTTCACCGTAGGGTAAAGTATAGGCACATCAAGAAATATGGGGTATGGAGAAAGATAAAATCAACGAATATATATATATATATATATATATATATATATATGCATGAATATAAGCGTGGAAAAACCCACTAACCATCGTTTCCCATTTCCGGTTTTTTTTTTTTTTTTTTTTTGGGTGGAACTTCCAAGTAAAACTGAACTTACATAATAGGTGACTACAATCAAGAAATGGTAAAAGACGATACCAACTACTTCAGAGGACAAGTATTTGCCGGTCCATGTATGTTCCGTTTTTACATCCACCGAGTTTTTTTTTTCTTTTTCTTTTTTTTCTGTGACTAAGGCCTGTGAGTGAAAATGTCAAGTTCATTAGGAATATTGAATAAATGAAACTAATAATTAGTGTTTAATTAACCTACTAATTACAAGCCGAAAAAGTTGTCACCAATTTCAATTAGAATCGACCTTTTGAATCACCAATGTTATGAGGAGCTTACTTGCTAATGAGGGATCTGAACGAGGATGTAAGAAATGCAATATAGACACACTGAGATGACAGCTCCGGCTACAAAATTGTGAAATAGTTTCTGATTATCTCTTGTGGGTATAAAAGCTGACTTCAGTGTATTTGTGAGCTCAAAAAGCCGATACGATATCTGCAGCAGAAAACAGGATACCGAATAAATTTCCATACGGGGGAAGAATATTTCATATGTCAGTAACTTCGACACTGAAATTCCAAGACACGGATATAATCAACTAACCAATAAGTAAACGGAAGTTGTCAGCATGAAGTTAAGCAACGGGTAATCTGGAATAAAGGAGAGTAGCCACTTGGGCTGTCCATTGGGCACATTCGATCTGTAATTGAATTAACGGAAACTGGTGAGGCCTCATAATTTGATTAGACTGAGTTTTCAAATTCATCGAGGAAACTTCTACATATTAGAGCTAAAAAATAGCTAAATGTGTAAATTAGAACCGAAAAAGGTTGCCACACTTGAATACTTCAAACGTAGTATACTAAGAGAAAGGTTCCTACTCGTACGCAGAAATAAAGAGTTAAATAGATAGCTGTATTACAAATACATAGTTGAAAAATCAATTTGTGGCTGACTATAAACAAGCGATGAAGATTTATGACTCAAGCACAACAGCTATATAAACATGTTTCAATTAGAAAATAAAACACATACCTTAGCCAGATGTGGAACTGGGAAATATATGTTTCCAAAGTAACTTTGCCAAGCCACCTGGATAAGAAAAAAAAGAGCAGTTGGATAAAACAACAAGGTACCGATACATCATCATTTTTTCCACATATTGAAGAAGACCTTAGGTGAAGAAGATATAACTTACGCAAAGAGGGTCAATGAAAAATTCCGAAGCTGCTGAGTGCAATTCCTCAAACAAATATAGACACTGGAGAGAGAGAAAAAAGAAAATGGAGTAGAGCAAATTAGAAGAGATTACTGAAAAAAAACTTCAAGAAAAGTTGCCATGAATTGATGATACAAAGAAAAAAACATTATTGTCGAAAGGGTTATTGATGCATGTATAACAAAAAGTAAAAAGAACTACGGTAAAACTAAATCAAAACAATGTTTCAGTACAGACGTTATTGGAATCCACGACGTGTATGGATGGAGCTTGTTATATTCAACCTTGCCCAGCTTGTATATGTATTCATACCACAAGCAGCCAACCTAAAAGCAAATACGATCACAGAAAAGTTCAAATCGAAGTAGCACATGATCATATAAAATTCTCTTGAATGATCATATAAAAGTCTCTTGAATAAAACCTAAGTAACTCACAATTATGGCAACAGTAGCGATGGATGTCTTGATTGTACGTCTATGCTTAGCCTCAGACTCCTCTAATTTATCCATCCACTTTTCAACCTGCAATGATGAAAGAGTATGAATTCCAAACCCATGCAAGGAAATACATGTACAGAAGTTCCAATCTTCGAACATTACAGTTGGGTGAAAATAGGCATAGATCATTCCGACAATCCATATATAACGATCAAGCCCAGACCTAAAATGCCACTCATGGAGTCGAGGAAGATCTGGTTTTGCGGGATCACTATATCCTGTCGGTCAGACAAATAACTCAGGTGAGGAAAAACAAAATTGTACCGCCTAACAGCAAAACTATATCTAAGGACAGAGATAGCAAAATTATGCAACTATCACAGGAAAAATCAATGACATCCAAGGTAACAAGGTTATTGATGGACATACCTAGAAGAGAAGTGAAAGGACTCCATAAAATGTCAAAAACTCCGGGAACTTCCCACACAAAGATAACCACAAGAAAGCACATCAAAATCTTCAAAGCCATAACTGATTTTATTTCATTATATTGGTGGCCAATGCCAAGGGCCCCATACACCATAAGAGTGAAGAGGGTATGCATCGGGCAAATGTAGTAAAGCATATAGTCGTTGTTGAGAACAATACAACAGAATGCTACAAAAAAGTTGAGCCTCCACATCATCTGCATAAACAACACATTGAAAATTACAACACTCGTTAAGAAACCTAGGAAAAATCAGAAATGTAACAATGCCATATACTATAATGTCACCTGAGCAAATCGAGCAACACTGAAATCTTTGCGGATATAATAATAGGAGAAGTTTCCGAAGCCAGTCATCCATACATAAGCAGCAATAAAAACACGAATAGCATTGTAAATCTCCGTTGCAGCAAAGTAATGGTACATCAAAAACAGCACCTATAAACATAACATATGATCAGACACATAGCAGCTAAAGGAGTTAGTAAAGCAGCACAAATTCATCTCACAAGTTCTATCCACATCCAGAATCCACCGAGAGGAATCTAAACGGTAAAGAAGAGAAAAAAAATCCAGGTTTCCACCTGATGCGGAGCATCATAAGATATCACAAATCCTATTCATTTTTTCATATTTTTATATTTTCTCCGCTTCCATGTTAAATCAGGGGTGGGAACATAACAAATATTAGAATTAAAAAGTTCTCTCCGAAATTCTCCGAACAAATTTATCTACTCACTACTGTAACATTAGGTTTGTCCAGAAAACACTTGCCTGCATCCAGCCTTTCCACTCTTCAGTCTGGTGGCGGTTTAGGTAGAGAATGGATTTCCCAGAAAATGCGGATTTGTCATTGTGTTTCTTAAGAGAGGTCATAGCTGAAGTTATGATGAGAAGAATGTAAAGGAAAATGAATAGATCACGATTGTAGCTCTGTTCAACAATAGAAAGATGCAAAAGGAGATAGTTAGAGCAATTACTGGTTATAACAAAACATACAGAATACGAGCCTAATAAAAGTTACAGGCACCATTGCTTTTAAATTTGATCAGAAGCTATAATGGTATTATAAAAATAGCCTATAAAATATTCTTTTGACTTGAATTTTGAGAGGAGTAACTTGGTATAATATATCTTTCAAGACATACTGTGACCAGATTAGTCTCTCTGGTGAAAAGGTCATCTGGATAACAAATTATGGCTATTGAAAAACCGAGGAAGATAATCACCTTGGTAGATTCTGAAAAAAAGTTTGTCCGGTCGCATATGTAAAAATAGAACAAGATTCCCCCAAATTCAGCCCTGCATGAAACTAATTTACCATTAATAAATGAAAGAATCAAATGGAACACAGTCAAAATCACTAAACAACTTACATTGCCCTTAGAAGTAGTCGATTTTCAAGTAAAAACAAATCATCCATAGTCAGAAACCTAGAATCAGACACAGCAAATGGTAAGAGAGCATTTGCCAATATAATTGAATAAGAAACCTATCAAACATATGGTTATCACATTACTATTATACGAAACCGACCTGATTATGTTTGTTTTAATGGATGGACTGGCCAATTTTGTAGATGCTGATTTAGTGAGACCTCCTTCTATCAACACTGCTCGTTCATCTTCTTTGATTGTTTGATTTTCCAATTCATCCAGATTACTATCTGAATGACTTCTGAGTAGAAAAGTAAACAGAAAAATTAATGATCACAGTTAAATAGATTCATTAGGTAAGAAGAAACCAAAAACATCTTCCAAATTTCTCCACATTATATTATATAATAGCATCTATAATTAAGGGAAGGACATGAAAAGTCCTAAGTGCTTACGCTTTAGATGACGATGATTTCTTATATTCCAACCACTCAGAGTATATCCATGCAACAATAACTGGAATGCTTCCGAGCAAAAATGACACCTAGGAATTTCAAGTGAGAGCGTCGAGCAAGATTAGTGTAACGAAGTTGCAGATAGGCAATCGTATAGCTAAGGCAAAGAGCAGATATAAAAAAATATCAAACAATAATAATATAAATGAAAGTTATACATTATAATTGACCAAACAATACATATAATCCACCTCTAATACATATAGCATTTGCCCAATAATAAAAATACTATACTGTACTAGTAAATTACTAGCTACCACTGCATCCATTCCAATAATCACGATAGCATGAACACAATACCATAGCAGAACAATGCATTTTGCTATTGCCGGTATGGTTTCAAATCGTAACTCATCGAGAATTTAAATTATTAAAACAAAGAGATCTACCTACGTCCAGAATTGCATCCGGTGATCAAATACACTACAATAAGCAAAAATGAAAGGAAAAAAAAGGAATGAAGAAATTCAAATCCACCGACAACATAATTAAAGAAGTAAAGCAAAACCAAAAGTTAAGAGAAACAGCACAACTGTGAAAATTGCAAAAAAAAAAAGGTAAAAAATCGAGAACCGCACCAGTCCAGGCGTCACAGTTCCAGAATCCACCGCCATTCCGACGAGAATATGAAGAAACGTACAACAAATCAAGCGATCAAACACGCAAATCTACAGAAATTTCATCGATCGAGTGAATTCGCAGCACTGAGGCGCACATACACACACAGATACACCGGAGGGGAAAAAATGGGAGTGAGGGAATATATATAAGAAAGGAGCCCTAAAAATTGAAGAGGAATGCAGAGATCTGAAGCAAATAGAGATGAAAGTGGAAGATAGTGGTAGTCAGTGAATCTAACGACGTCGTTTGCTTCAATTATCGGTCGAAATGTCTCTCTCTCTTTATTTCGGACCAACCGCCTGAGGTGGTTGCCGTCTGCCGTCTGGTTTATATATTCTGTATATTTAATTATTTATTATTATTATTATTATTATTAATATTATATTGTTTCCCCATTTCTATTTCAAGATTAAATGAACAAATTTGGAAATTCCACATATGATATTTTCCTCTATTAAGGAATTACTATAACAAAAAAAGAAAAATAAATCATAAGCTTTAACAGCAGTTATCTTGGTTTTAATGACAAAGTGCATCATAAAAAACATGATTAGTGTGGTCTAATTGTGTATGATAATGGTCATTAATAGCTTGGGAAGACTAATCCAACAGGTAAACAACTAGCTTTTATTTAATTATTATTACTACTATTATGTTTATTACTATAGTACTAGTATGTGATTTTGAGTACAAATGAAGCAACAATTATACAGCTTGCAGTAGTTAATTAGGTCTAATCTATTGCATTTATACCAACAATATACTATTTAATTGGTCTAAAGATGATGCTTAAAACATAATTTTGTCTACCAAAAAACATGTTGGTTGATCTGTTGAAATTGGAATATTGGGATTCATATTAATTGATCTTTAATTTTCATCCTCGTGTGTATTTTAATGTTAGGTGAAATACGAACTTTTCTTTTCTTTTTGTTTAATTTTTTCGGTTAATTCTGGATAGTGATGGGCATGGGGCGGGTACGGGTATGAGGTGAGTTTGGAAAAATCTACACCCGTCCCTCCCCGGACTCGTAAAAAAAAAAATTTTTATTTATTTAATTAAAATATCTCTAAAAGTTAGTATTTTATAATATATAAAATTAATAAAAATATGTAAACGGGTTGAACACGGGTAAGGATGCGTATGTTCAAAAACCGTACCGGTTACGGGTAAAAAAAATTAAAACTCATACCCACTCCATTAGCTAACGGGTCGGGGATTACCCGATAAATTCGGGGCGAGTCAGGGCGGGTTAAATTGACATCCCTAATTCTGGTGGAGAGTGTGGAATATGGGCCAAATGGGCCGGTTATGGGTTCAATTTGTTATGCATTATTTCATAAAATTTGCTGTCCAATGTATTTGCAGAATTATTAAGAAAATCAATTGAATATGCTAAAATATTAGGAAACATTATTTAAATAACTATAGGTTATTTATGCGTGATCTTTAACATTATTAAAAAAAAATTGAATCAAATCATCAAACGTACAAGTAACAACTCGTGACCTCAAATCGTTTGTCGTGGCATTCTTCTGAATCATTCAAATTCCATTATATTTAATAAATAAAATCCCCATGCATATATATATATATATATATATATTATATATATATATATTATATCATAAGGAATGACCAAACTGACCCTTAATTTGTATGCATCCCATAACTACATAACAAAATTTACAACAATTTGCATCATCTACCTATATATAGTTGACTTTATATATGAAACAGCTTGTTGACTACATATACTGGTCAACGTCCATAGTACATATATTTTAGAAATTTAAAGATGTATAATAATACATTGTAGTTCTTAAACAAAAGAAACAAGTCCTACTAGGTACATATATATTGTTAGCTATAATATATTAATTAATAATACACTATATATACACAAATGTGTTCTTTAATTCGTTGTATATATTTTTTTAAAACATAATAAATAAATTAGTTAATAGACAATATATAATATTTTTATTATTGAATTGAATTGCTCTAGAAAAAAAATGTATTGCTCTGTGTTATTATGCACACTCGGTTATCTTCATCGGTTTATATTTTATCATACACGCGTATAAATCATCATTCATACATGCATATATACATTTTACACACATCCACGTAAAAATATGTTTGATTGTGCGTAAATCAAATGTGAAAAACTACCAATGTATATTCAATAGATTTATAAGAATTTAATTGTATATATATATATAATTGGACTAGGGTTCTTTTCTCTAAAGTAGAGACTAGGTCTAATATAATTTAGACTACTTATATATTTCCCATCATCTAACAATAATAAAACCTTTTGAATTCTCCCATAATTAAACATCATAAAAAATAAAATATATATATATATATATATATATATATATATATATATATATATATATATATATATATATATATATATATATATATATATATATATATAAAACAATATAACTAAATAATGGATCATGATCGAGCACTAGATCGATCGACATCGTCCATTTCGGAAAAAAAAAAAAAGAAGAAAAAAAACCAATATCTGGTAAGAAAGAGATCGAAATCGAGATCAAGAAAACCTCTTCGATAAGTAACGTAACTTGGTTTGTTAGAAATCGAGAAATATTAATTCAGTGCTCTTGTTTGGGAAATAAAGGAGGGATTACATCTTGCAATAGTCCATAGTCATCTGTGAACTGTTGAAACAACTGCTGTTGCTGCTGTTGTTGATCATACGAATTGCGTGTACTGCGGCCTCCGTCGTAACTGTAGAGGTTGTGGTGGTGTTGGTGGTGCTGAGGTGGCATATTATTATTCTGAGATAAGAGTATTTCTTGAGGGAAGCTAATTTGATCCTGCATCGAAAACGAGGCCGGAGGAGCAAACATTGAGGAGGAGCCGGCGGCAGCAAACGACATTCCGGCCATGTTTCCCCGGAGACTGGCGGGAAGGTGGTGGTTGTGCTGGCCTTCGTAGGTGGTGATCACGATCGAAGGGTCTTGGAACGATCTCTCGACTCGCTTCTTCACCGGGCATTTCTGAGTTGTGCATCTGTAGTAGCTTCTGCAAGTGTATTTATATGATCAATTTTTAATTTTAATTGTTGTATAATATATATATAATTAATTGAAGCCATGAAATTAATTATTGAGTGTGAAAGCAAGAAAAACCTAAACATGTGCAAATGACTAAAATATATTCCTATTTGCATCTGACTTCAATTTTGTTTTTGCAGTTTACTTCAATTAATATATATACAGTCAACAATAAGACTATTCTTAACATAAATTTAACTCATGATCAAAATTAATTAAAACAATTTTAGGGTTTTGCATTCATACTGCACATTAATAAAAATAAATAAACTAATTTCTTGCCCATACTTAAATTAATTAAGTACATAACTAATCAAGTTAGCTACGTTGCTTGCGTGATTATATTTTGTATTAATTAATTTTGAAGAAATTAATTAAGGAAAAAAATAATTAAAAATAAAAAACCTGGGATAAGGGCTGTTTTTAACAGCCTTCTGACCATATTTTCTCCATCTGTATCCATCTTCCAAATGATCAACCTCACTTTTTGTCATGAACGCAACTTTTTGCTGCTTTTCTTTCTTCTCTCCTTTCTTGATTATCTTCGTTTTACTCCTTAATTAATTATTTTTTAAACATAAACACTAATTAAGTATATAATTAATTAATGGTTAATCTTTAATCAACCCTAGCTAAGCAAGAAAAATGCCAAATTAAAAAGAAAATAAAAAAAATCTTACTCTTTCTTTGATGTTCCTTCCCCATCTTCGGCAGTTGTTGCTTTCTTACCAGTACTACCCTTGTTTGAATCTTCCTCAGCCGCCGCCGCCGCCGCGGCCTCGGTGGAGGAGGAGGAGATGGAAGAGTTTGGTGTAGCTGGGGTTTCCACCGGCGGCGGCCGTTTCTCTTCTTCCTTAATTACGGCGGCCGGAGAAGAATATTTCGGGGAGAAGCCCGGAGCTGAATTTATAAGTGAGTTGTGATCTGCAGATCCATGCAGAAACTCGGCGAAGCTTACGTAAGAAGGATCGAACATTTGCAGGTAGTGAGCATGAACCGATGATGAATCGCCAGTATTATAGGTTGAAGAATATTGGCCGCCGGAGTACGGAAACGTGGTGCCGCCGCCGCCACCGCTGCCGCTAGTGTTCCGCCGCTGATCGTCGCTATATGGTTGGTGGTAGTAAAATTCTCTGAGTTCTTCCGACATGAATAAGTTCTAATTAAGAAAAGCAGAGAAGAAAGGAAGAAGAATTATATTGCAGGAAAAAAAATATATGAAGTTACACAAGGGTTTAATTAGCTATATATATATTATATATATAATATATATTATATAAATGTATATATATAATTTTATATATGCTGTCTTTATATGAAGTTTTGACGAGAAAAAGGTGTTATTGAGGTCACTAGTTGCAAAATAATTATTTATTTATTTTCGTGGAGGACTAGAAGGGGGTGGGTGGGGGTGGGGTGGGGGTGGGGTTTGGGTGGGGCCCACTTGTAAAGATAGTTTGACAAAACCTAATTGGTGTCATTTGCCACTAAAAATTGTACTTGACAAGAATTATTCTATTTTTGCTGCGTGCTACATATTAATCCACGCCTTTTCTTTTCTATCACCGCACAATTAATTTTATTCATAATATATAAATCTTTATTTTTTATATTTATTATTATTATTATATGAAGGTGTATATATCTTAAGTGATTAGTGGATTTAAATTCGAAAAATGAAATAAAGGTGGATGTGAACCCTAATTTAATTAGGTGTAATAAAAATGTTGGGATAATTGAGGGAAGGGGAGCAAAAGTCAACTATGGATGGTTTGTGTGGGTTAATAACCGTCCAGTCAGGATAGAATAGATACCTATTTAACGGTCAACATTTCAAAAGTTTGGGTTAACATCCGGTGGGGCCAGGTCTTACACGTGTCTCCACCGGGGCACCGTCATTTGACCGTGACTGGCACGTGGGAGGTGCTCCGTGGTTAACCTATAATCATTCTATTTTACATATAGCTGTCTTGCCCCCTGCGCGCCATTCAATTTTTTTATACGCCCTCGTGGTTTGTTTCTATTTTCATTTTTAACCCCCTTCTTTTTATATTTTCACTTTTTTTTTTTGTGTGTGTGTGAAAATAAAAGGGTTGCTTGAATTTTAAAACAGAAAAAAAATTAATATAAATACGGATATAATTATTATAGCATTTGAATTGTAAACAGACAAATTATGTAGCTAGTAGGGTTAGGCTGATGCCTTTAATCCTATCAATAAAAAAAGGTGTGGACTAATTAAATAGGACAAACACTTTTTATTAATTAGTATATCTTATAAATGTAGATTTTAACTATATTGTAGTATATTATATTATAGCTAACATTCTTGTTCATAATTATGTAAACCTCTCAATATTTGGCAGAATATAATATAAATGTGAGTTTTTTCGGGTTTTTGTTTTCGTTCTTGATTGTTTTCTAACTTGTGTATTCGATTATTGTCCGTCTCGAGATACACACACACGCATTCGACATTTATCTTCTATAGAGAAATAATTTTGTGACTCTTTAATTTCTACCTTTGAAAATATGTCGGCGAAAAAAAAATTGTCCATGTGAAATTAATTGTGGCAGAAATATAAATTAAACAAGAAAACGAGGAAATAAAACATATGTAAAAATCTTGAAAAGTTTTTGGCCAAAAGCATTATAATCAAACCTTAAAGGACGAACACACATGTACTAAGAAAAAAGAATTGCTTGTCTTTTCTCCACCCACCCTTGGAGAAAAAAATAAGAGTTTGAGTCTACAAAAGAGAAATGCATAATGAACTTATTCAAAAGAACCAATCTACTACTTTATTCAAAGTCACATATTGTACTAATTTTCGGTAACCTTTACTTTTATGGGTTCTGATGATGCTAAAATGTAGATCACCTGGGGTAGTGTAGAAAATGTATTGGGAGAGCAAAGCGGATCAGTAGCTTGACAACTTGATGATCCTGAGGTACCTGCGAGATGAACACACGTGAACTACGCCGGGGGTTGATCCGGCGGAAACCCCTCCGACGCTCAAGTCAGACGTGCTGATCATAGAATTAGTCCAGAGAATACGTATTGTAGTATTGCTCAGTTAATATGACGTACCTTAATAAAATGAGTAAAACCTCTATTTATATGTCGTTTATTGGGTTGGGTTGGGTTTGTTGGGCCCAAGCCTTACTTGAAGGTGTTTGGGCCTCGGTGATATTGGTCTTCGATATTGGGCTCGTAGCCCAGTAGGTAAAGAAATTGTAGTCCAATTGGGTTGGCCCAATTAGGCATATCATTAAGCCCCCCACTCTCGAGTCGATGTGGGGGCCATGTTGTGATGGGTCTCAGATCGTGTCGAGAGTAAAAATTGTAGAAGTCGATCGTTGGCGTATGGCCTAATAATATGCGAAAACGCGTTGGAGCGTGTGTCGGAGGGGTGTGAATGCGCGTTGGCGCATAGCGCGACAAAGTTGCCGCGATATAAATTAATTGAGTCGTCGGTTTTGTCCCGCGACGATGTAGTAGCGATTTATCTCATCGTGGGAGTTATCTTGTCGCGGGGTAATAGTGTTGATCGAGTTATCTCCTCGTGGGAGTTGTCTCGCGATAATGTAGTAGCACGGATCAAGTAATCTCCTCGTGGGAGTTGTCTCTGGGTTAATCGAATCGATCGAGTTACGTCTTCGTGGAAGTTGTCTCACGATAATGTAGTAGCACGGAGCTAGTATTCTCCTCGTGGGAGTTGTTATTTTTCGAAATTTTCAATGTTTTGACGCGTTGCTTGTATGTGTTTACATATAGCCTTCTGCGTGATGTACTTGAGGAGGGGATCAGGCTCTCAAGATTTTTTTTTATATGGGGGTCGTGCCCCTTGTTAGACCTCGTGGGTCTTAAGTATGTTTGGACCGTGGCCACGTTTTAATGAATGACCCATCGAAAACAAGTAGATAAATTTGAGTAATCAAGCTGGCCAGGCTATATAGATTCTCATAATATCTCTAAGTGCTTCTAGGGTTGTAATCGTGCTAACTTGAGCTTGCGATTATATGGTGAATTTCGGGCGAGTTGTCTCCTCATGGGAGTTGTCTCGCGGTGAGTAATATTATCGAGCGAGGTGGTTGCACGTGAGAGTTGTCTTGCAACGGATTTGTAGTGTCGAGCGAGTTGGCTCCTCGTGGGAGTTGTCTCGCTGCGGGTTGTAGTATCGAGCGAGTTGGCTCTTCGAGAGAGTTGTCTTGAGCGAAGTTGTAGGAGCATTGGATGATGCGCGATTTAGGCGCGTGTGGATTGAGGTTGCTCTAAGCGAGTTGTCTCCTCGTGGGAGTTGTTTCGCAGCGAGTCTTATTATCGAGCGAGGTGGTTGCACGTGTGAGTTGCCTTGCAACGGATTTGTAGTATCGATCGAGTTAGCTCCTCGTGGGAGTTGTCCCGCTGCGGGTTGGGGTACCGAGCGAGTTGTCTCCTCGTGGGAGTTATCTCGCTGTAGGTTGTAGTACCGAGCGAGTTGGCTCCTCGTGGGAGTAATCTCGCTGCGGGTCATAGGATGGAGCGAGTGGTCTCCTCGTAGGAGTTATCTCGTTGTGGGTTCGTAGGACCGAGCGAGTTGGCTCCTCGTGGGAGTTTCCTCGCTGCGGGTCGTAGGATGGAGCGAGTGGTCTCCTCGTAGGAGTTATCTCGCTGTGGGTTCGTAGGACCGAGCGAGTTGGCTCCTCGTGGGAGTTTCCTCGTTGCGGGTCGTAGGATGGAGCGAGTGGTCTCCTCGTAGGAGTTATCTCGCTGTGGGTTCGTAGGACCGAGCGAGTTGGCTCCTCGTGGGAGTTGCCTCGCAACGGGTTATATGACTGAGCAAGTTATCTCCTCGTGGGAGTTGTCTTGCTGCCGGTTGTAGTACCGAGCGAGTTGGCTCCTCGTGGGAGTTGTCTCGCTGCGGGTTGTATTACTGCGCGAGTTGGCTCCTCGTGGGAGTTGTCTCGCAAGCCCCCCACTCTCGAGAGGATGTGGGAGCCACGTTGAAAAGGGTACCGGATCTTGTCGAGAGTAGATCGGTGTTGTAGTCTTGCGTTAATCGTTGGCATGGTGTGGAGAAATAATTTTTTTTTTTTTCTATTTGATAGCGAACGCAATTTGGTGGGTGCGTTAAAGAGCTCGCGCAATTTGGTGGAACGCGTTGAAATTCTCATGCGATTTGGTGAAGCGAGTCAAAATCTACGCGCTTGATATTCACCCCCTTGGGGATGTTTTATTTTTTGAATAGGGATATTACCCTCGTTCCTTGAGATGGGATGTGCACCCCTCTTGGGGATGTTCTATTTTTTAAGTAGGGAGATTATCCTCGTTCCTTGAGATGGGATGTGCGCCCCCTTGGGGATGTTCTATTTTTTGAGTAGGGAGATTATCCTCGTTCCTTGAGATGGGATGTGCACCCCCTTGGGGATGTTCTATTTTTTGAGTAGGGAGATTATCCTCGTTCCTTGAGATGGGATGTGCACCCCCTTGGGGATGAAAGGTCAGTGGATGTACCACCCTTGATATGAGATGCCCAACTTTAGGATGGGATAGCCCCCCATTTAGGATGAGGCGATCACGAACCACTGGGTTGAGATGCCCCACCTTGGCGATATATGGTGCCACTGATTCAGTGGCAGCACGAGTTGAATCTTCCGTGATCATACGCTGAAGGTCTTCTTCGGTTATCTGAACCGTTCGAGAAGTAAGTAGAAATTGATCATGTTGAGGACCCAGTGGGGCCTCACGAGGAGGAGCGTTGGCTCCTGCTATAATGAATGAAATGTTTTGGGGGCGATGTGAACCCCCGGGGAGTCGATAACCCTTGGCGAACGAAATATTTTGGGAGCAGATGTAAGCCCCCAGGGAGTCGATAACCCTTGGCGAACGAAATATTTTGGGGGCGATGTAAGCCCCCAGGGAGTCGATAACCCTTGGCGAACGAAATATTTTGGGGGCGATGTAAGCCCCCAGGGAGTCGATGGCGGTGGTGGCATGGGTGGCTATGTAAGCCCCCAGGGAGTCGATGGTGGTGGTGCCATAGGTGGCTATGTAAGCCCCCAGGGAGTCGATGGCGGTGGTGCCATAGGTGGCTCCACATGTGGAGCAGGTGCTGGTATCGCGTTGGGAGCATTTGCTCCCATCGTGGCGATATATTGAGTCACGGCCTCTGTGGCAGCGCGAGTTGAAGCTTCTGCTATCATGCGTTGAAGCGCATCCTCGGTTATTTGAACCATTCGAGGAGCAGGGAGTGGTGGATCGGCGAGTGGTGGGTCCCGAGGGGGATCACCTGAACCTCGCGAGGCGGATCCATGGGATGTGGAGGAGGTGGCAAGCCAGAGCCTCCACGAGGTGGGAGGTCGTTAGATGTGTAATTTTCTCTCCGAGCAGACGCCTCAGGAGGATCTTGTTGGCTACGTGATCTGGTTTGCATCGTTCCCACAGACGGTGCCAAAATGATGATGCTAAAATGTAGATCACCTGGGGTAGTGTAGAAAATGTATTGGGAGAGCAAAGCGGATCAGTAGCTTGACAACTTGATGATCCTGAGGTACCTGCGAGATGAACACACGTGAACTACGCCGGGGGTTGATCCGGCAGAAACCCCTCTGACGCTCAAGTCAGACGTGCTGATCATAGAATTAGTCCAGAGAATACGTATTGTAGTATTGCTCAGTTAATAGGACGTACCTTAATAAAATAAGTAAAACCTCTATTTATATGTCGTTTATTGGGTTGGGTTGGGTTTGTTGGGCCCAAGCCTTACTTGAAGGTGTTTGGGCCTCGGTGATATTGGTTTTCGATATTGGGCTCGTAGCCCAGTAGGTAAAGAAATTGTAGGCCCATTGGGTTGGCCCAATTAGGCATATCAGGTTCCAATATTCTTGGATTGCGCAATAATCGACATTTAAGCACCAATGAGAGGGGTCTGTACCTTCGACTACCTCGGACACGTGGCAGTAACTTTCGGAATCTCTGCAATTTTCGGATCGAAACATTTACTTTTTTACAGGTTCAAATACTCTTGGATTGCGCAATCAACATTTGAGCAGCAATGAGTAGGGTTGTACCTTCAACTACCTCGGACACGTGGCAGTAACTTTCGGCATTCTCTGCAATTTTGGGATCGAAGCCTCTTGAATTGCCCAATCGACTTTTGAGTAGCATCATTTAGCACATCAACATTTTTTTTTTTTTTAAATCTTAATTATAGTATGCAAGGTGTTGAGTGTATATTTTATACTCAATGTATACTTTCTTACGAGGATTTTTGTATACTTTTATTGATTTAATGGTGCTTAATAAGTGGTTTATTGTATTTTAGGTACAACTTGACGATTTGGGAGTTCCAAGGTTGAAACGAGCCAAAAAAGGTCAAAAACGGGCAAAAGCGGAAGAAAACAAAAATATGCTGAAAATTGGCCCGCGCGGCCGTGCCAAATTTAGCCTATTTTTGGCGCGGCCGCGCCAACTGCAGAATGAGGGCAGAAGGTTTCGGCGATTCTCGCGCGGCCGTGTGAGAATTACACTGATTTTCACGCGGCCGCGCCAAAACACGCTGGAGACAATTTTGGACTTTTAATCACACAAGGAAACCTAAATTCTTCTACCAATGGGACATCTATTTAAAGGCAAACCAAGTACGAATCAAAGGACTTTTGAACACAATCTTAGAGCAAGAGGAGCGAGAGAACGAAGAAACGAAGACGGAGAATTGACAAATCTTCATCACAATTCTTCTTTTATCTATATTTTCTTAATCTATGTATTTTTATATTTTTATTATGTTTTTCGTAGAGAACATGAGTAGTTAAGTTTTTAATCTAGGATTTTGTTGGAACCCTATGTGGGGATGGTGAACCCGTTTTCCTGAGATTATGCAATTATGATTTTATGATTATTTCTTTTACTTGTTATGATTGTTAGTGCATGAACCTGATCAATTTATGTGTTTTATCTGTGATTATTGGGATTGACTCGACAGAGCTATTATCATAATTTGACAGTAAGTAAAAGAACCTTCGAGTAGTTTTCACCGGATGAGTGTGTCAATTGCATGTGGTGTCGTAGACATACAGATATCACCTTAGGTAGCCATTTACGAGACTTGTTAGTTAATGCTTTATTCATAATTGGTTTGCATAGACATATAGTGAACCGTCATAATACGCGCGATAGCGGGTTATGAGTAAATTAGTGTCTCGGGTTAATAATCAGGAATCATATATTTCATAATTGATGGGTTTTGGGTGAGCAATTCTTGCATAGGGAAGATGAAATCCTAGGTCCGTTTTTACTTGATATTTTCTCGTGTTTATTTGCTTTCATAATTAGTTTAATTATTTAGTTGATTAAATTTCAGAACCTTGCGTAGGCTAGATAAAAATCATAATTGTTAGAATTCGGTACTTAGGATATGATAATTTGAGTATTCCCTGTGGGATCGACATCCGACTCTCACGAGTCCACTTTTACTATTTGTTTGCGATACGTGCACTTGTGTGTTAGGTATTTAGGCCTAACAAAATGTTAGGCATAAATCACCGATTAAGAATTTTTGCTTGCCGGTTTAATTTCCGAGACAAGTGACAATTAAATCAGAGGTCTGACATTGTACTATTAATTAATTAGTTAACTTGCCAAACATATTTTGCAGAACCATGTTACAAATGGCTAAATATATATATAAATAAATGTATGTACTCCTATTATTGATGAAGGGATTGCTTGAGAGGGAGAAATTATTGATGATGATGAAACTGAAAGCTAGTGAGAAAAGAAAGAGCATGAAATTATTGACTTGAATTAATTTGGTTCCATTATATGTGACATTATCATAAATAATGTACACTATATATGTGTATATATATATATACACACACACACACACATATATACTGTATGGTCATTGGTTTTACTGGAATTGTTATTGCAAGTCTTTATCAGTACAGAAGAGAGCAGCTTATTTGTTAGGTTTGTATGTATATATACCAAAAAATGGAATCTTTCAGACACTGACACATCCATTTCATGAGCAAACCCTAAATCAAATCTTGTCAAAATTAATAATTATCATCATTTTGTATATAGCTCAGATTCTTGAATTTAGATTAATTATTTTATATATATAATTATCATTAATAATATTATTGGAACGAATAATCGGATTGACTAAAACCGTACGTACCCCATGGAAGCTAAGTCAAGAGAGCTTCAATCATAATTGTGTGACATCTACTCCACTTTGGAATGTTTTGAATGAGTCAATGTAATTAATATCTCCATTAATTTAAAAACAATTTTCTGCTAATTAATTATTGGTTTACTTAGCAGTCTCAAATGTGAAAGGTCTTCGTGTTTGATTCCATGTCATCGGTCCCGATTCTTGACCATGCGATTTAAGAAATGTTGGAGAGAGTACGATGGTTGGTCATGCCGCAATTATCTCTTAATTCCATTTTTCTTTTGTAATTATTTTAATTTTAATTGTATGCTACTTGAGATGATGTAGTGGGATCAGTTGAGTAAACAACTCTTGAGGAAGACCGCAATATAGCAACATATACATTATATATGTGTATGTATATGTTCATCGATTTGTGAGTGAAGAACAGAAAAGTAGTATTAGGTGATATAATTGCATGAAAAGGAGAACAAGACTTGACTTGGTCTAATCCCAATTAATTAAGAATGGATTATCTCCAATAATGGCACATTTAGACAAACCCCAAAAGAGATTAGATAGATTATTAATCTTATTGGCGCGGGACGGGAGGAAGAAAAAAACGGCAAAAGTTGGAAGATTCGTTTCCGAGTCAATGTTCGACTTGTCCAGCTTTTTAAAAAGTCGTATCGAAAAGGCCAAACTTCGTATACTTTTTGGAATTATATAGTATTTATTTTGTTTATTGCATTCTTGATCGAACTAGTTTGCTTACACGAAAGAAATGTCTGGTAGTTCCATAGGAATTGTTTACTCGTAAATAACAAGAGTCGATAGTATTAGCAGTTCGAACTCACTAAACGCATTGAAATATAGCTTTGAAGATTTGACAATTTGGAGAAATTGCAGGTTCAAATTCCGTTAAATGTGCGTACGGTAAATCTGATTTTATCTCAGAAGAACAAAAAACGAAAGGAAACGAACCAAAGGATCCGAATATCAGTTACGACAGAAGTTAACCAATTGACTGAATAGAAGAAATTGGTCTGAATTTGTGACACTAGCATTTTTCATTTTACCTTTTATTTAGTGTTGGTTTACTTGTGTTTTTCTGGATGGTATCTCAAGTACAAATAGGGTGAATCACACATAAAAATCTTAAAAGAAGTGAGTTTCCAAGAAAACAAAAATCCATAAACATTCATAATGTAATGCAAACACGCCTCGTATAATCATACGACTGCTCATATGACTTCAAAGAAGCTACTCGTCATCAAGAACACTCTGCCGCCTTTTAATCTGACAAAAAAACGTAAAACAAATAAAAAAACTAGAAGATGAACATAGGATTAAATTCATTTAAAGAAACAATAGAACAATCAAGAATCGCGACTTACTGTTACTTTGGTTTCTTTAGTCGTTTGAGTGTTGATTTGTTCTAGTAGCGATATAAGCCTCTCCTCCGATACCTATAATGCAGAAATAAATTTAATGCAATTTCATAAAAAATAAAATAAAAAATTATAATAATATGGCGAGAATTTACCTTCTCGACAATCTGTCCCATTTGAGCAGCTCTCAGTATCACATCCTCAACTCCTCTGGCCTTGTCGGGTTTTACCAATGCAATTCGAGCAACTGCACATACGAATGCATACACACGAATGAAAAAGTAACTTCTGAGAAACATAGCCAGTTATTTTCATTCTCACAATGCAGTTATTTTTCAGCACGAATATCTATGTAATACGCATTTCAAGAAGTTGATCATAACAAATTCAATATCTCACGCGTTGTATACGGCATTGAATTTATGTGGTGTCACACAAGTTAAGGGTTCCACTTACGTCTTGCCCGTGCTTCAGGTGTCAAAATCCGAGTAAGCATCAATTGCCTTTGTTCCTCTGCCTCCCTAAATCAATTCCCTCAGTTCAGATCAAGATAATATTTACAGAGGAACTTCCGAAAGGACTTCAACAAAAAAAAAATGACGGGTAAAATTAGATGAAAAGAAGAAAGATTCACATTTTAGCTTCTTCCTGGGCTTTCTGCTTTTCGGGATCTTGACCCCCACTACCCTGCAAGTCAATAATCCAGTCAGCAGAGATTATGCTAAAGAAAACAAACACGAAAACAAAAATATACGTATACTCTACAAAGAAGAACAGAAACAAGAAACAAGAATTACTACCATGCCACGTTGAGCCATTAGCTCCTGCATTCTCCTTTGCCTGATCGCTTCCAATTCCGGGTCAGCCTACAATACAATCAAATTAGTAACATATGACCAAAATTCGGGATATCGTATTCTGATAATCACTATAATCAACTGCACGTGGACGAATCCATGATTAACAGATACAACTTTGATTAACACATTAGCTCTTCGTTATCTCTTTAGTGACAGTCAAGAATCTTGTGTTACACGACGAATGACGAAAAAAGGGACCACAAAAATAGTTCACAGCTACGACATTTGGCTGAATAAGCAGGTGTGTAAAAATACCAACAGAGAATGAAGACGCAAACTAATACACCACCTAAAGCAAACGCCTAAACAACCGTAAAATCACCCAGCTAATCCGAATTTGTTTTCACCATCAGATACCAGAAAACATAGGTTTGCTCAATTGGGAAAACTAATATAGGAACACACAACTCAGCACATTACACCATTAGAATCAAACAGAAACATGTTACAGAAAAGGAATTTCAGAAGCTCACTGCCTTGGCCTGCGAACTGAACGAAACCTAAGTTCCTTAATTAAAGTAAATTATACTCCAAAATCAAAATTTAATAATGAGAAACTAAACATCAAAGCTGCGATATCGCACAGCCCGGAGAAATCATCATGAAGAAGGCTAGCATAATCAGCTCATACACAAATCTAATGAAATCGGAGAAAGAAAAAGAAGATGCGAGCACAATCATAACAATTGATTGAAGCAAATCAATGGAGCTAAAACCCTAGCAACAATAAAAATAATTTCATCGAACAAAAAACAGAATAGAGAAATCCAAAAATAATTTCATCGAACAAAAAACAGAATAGAGAAATCCATTACAAAAACCAGTCTAAACATATACGGGAAAACGTCGCTTACCATTTTATTTCTGCAGATTTGAGTTTTCTGTCTGTGCCAAAAGAAAATAAAAAAATTAAGCGTTTAAAAGCTGAGAAATATTTAATATATCTGTATTTGTAGTCGAATATAACCACGGACCCGCACTTGCGTCCGAATAACGCAGTCGGGTATCTTTATTAACTTCTATATCTAACCCGGTCCATTTGGCGGGTCCTCTCTTGTTCTTTACTCTCAAATTCCCTACAGTTCCGTTTACCGATTTACGCTTTTGGCTCTCCATGGAAGTCGTTAACTTTAGGTGATCTTAATCCTTTTTTTGTTCTTTCTTTCAAATAATAAATTGTTCTATTTGTGTTCTTGGGTATACACATGCATATATCCATACATACTTTACACGCACCAATACATATATATGTGTGTGTAACTGTGTGTTTCCAAAATTGTAAAACTACACACTTGCATATCACGAGGTGTAGCATCTAGAAGACCGTTATTTAATTGAGTAATAAAATGCATTCATCTTCAATTCGATCTCGACAAACTTACAGAGTGCAAAAAAAAAAAAAAAAAAAACAGAAACTAATAAACTAATGTAGGTAACTAATGAGAAGGTGTAATCCTAAGAAGGTGATGGAGATTGAGTCCACTAATCTTTGCAGCGAGTATGAAGTCGTTCTCGGTGAGTCCACCCACTGCGTGTGTCCATATATCAATCTTTACATTATTCCATCCAACGAGATGAAGATCCGGGTGATGACCTGTAACATACAAATACATATGTCGAAAACATAAAGTTCAATAAACGGCCAAACAAAAACGGAGAAAAATGAGCTGATCTTGTATATAAACCCGACTATATAAGATGCCAATAAAATTCGAATCAAAATTGATATACCTACAATAAACGAGGGAAGTTGATAAAGTATAAATCATACCTTCTGCTTCAGCGACGTCAGCTACAAGACGAAGAAACTCCATTCCTTTCACAAACGTCTTAACTTTCCATGACCTGTGGAGCTTGTGTGTACCATCATCATCTTTCACCAGATTCCATCCAGGTACCTAAAATTATAAATTATTGACGTTTTAAATACAACTTATGTAGATAATTAAACGAGTGTATATATATGAATAGGAAATATCCGTGCCCGTTGGATCAGAATGTTGGCAGCCTCGTCAGTCATGGGCTTCAAATCTTTGGAGCTGCATGGCACACACTTCTTGATTGACAAATCTGCGTAAACATGAACATAACAACTATCATCAAATTTTGAATATAATGATCGATAAAAATCAACAACCGCAGCACATGGCTAAACAAAACAAGCAAAAAGCACACGGCACCGGAAGTGAAAAAATTACTGTTTGATTGGATTCCTCGAGTGACATCCAGTAATACTTACGGGAAAGTTATTCCGTTAGTACGGTTTTAAATTGCATTTTATCTTGTCTATCTGAAGATGTACTAACAATTGAAGAATCAAGAGCAGTAGCTCAATTCGACCACTAACCTTGGTTAGTACAAAAAGCCCTAATCCCACTAAGACCGCTAACTCTTGGCAAGCATCCAGATCCATGACGTTTATCAGGTACACGAATACTCGAGCTGTACGCAGACACAAACATTTTCGGACAGCATTGTCATATATACATATATATATTAGACCTCATTACAAGGCAATCTAACTAATTTATGAGCTGTAATTACTAGCATGAGTTGCAATTCGAGCTGAATTCAAGTGTGATAGAATATCTAATTGGATCTACCAAAAAAAAAAAAAGAACAAAAATTCCCATATTTGATTAAGCTAAAATTTTCATACGCAACTCAAAACAAAAACTAATACGATAAGCAATGTAAGAGAGAAAATCAGGTTACACAATCAGGTTAAATCGTTACCAATTTTTGCAAGAGAGAGAGAGAGAGAGAGAGAGAGAGAGAGAGAGAGAGAGAGAGAGAGAGAGATGGGCATCGAAGAAAAATTACCATCCATTGTCAGCCCAGACTTTCAGCGAGAGCGGAGCCAATAAAACCTAAATGAAATCACAGAAAACTCAGTAATCGAAGAGAGAGAGAGAGATTGTGCGTGTGTGCGTGAGACGGAGGGGGAGGGGGGTTGAGGTGGCGGAGGCCGGAGTGACGTACACGTGCCGTGGAAGAGAGAGCGCAAAGACGAGACTGAAGCGTCATTTTCTTAACGGCGATTTCTAAGTGGGACACGTTTATAACGCCGCTTGAGACGGTCCGTTAATGGGCCCGAACCACTACGATTATGGGCTGGGTTACATAAACGGGCCTGCTATATGATGGACTTTTTCAGTTTTGTAGTTATACGAAAAAGGCCCACTATTTCCCTTGAATCATGTTTTACTAATTAAATATTTAGTTTCTTAATACATAAATCTTTACACATTATATATTATTAATTAAAAAAAAAATTTATATATATTGGAAATACTTATATATCTTGTATTAGAATATTCCCGGATAATCTATTCGGAATTTCTACATTTACAAAGTAGTGGTGAAAACCGGAATGAAATATTTCGAATTTCCCCTTGAAAATTTTCGATTTCGGAACATTATCTTTCATTTTGAATTCAGAAAGTTCTAATTTCCAAATTTTCCGATTATTTTTCAAATGAATTGGAATAAAAATACTATGGTTCGATTTTCCATTCGATTCTAGATTTCTGACTACTCTAACTTATTTCCTATGATAAGACTTATAATATTAATATTATTATTCATTTTATATTGTAGGTCAATAAGGTCATCATGATTGGAATTTTCAAATTCCACGATTACAAAATCCGAAAATTTTCGATTTTAAAAGAAGTTTTTTCATTTCAATTCCGATTTTCTAGAATTTATCGAAGCAAAATTGGAATTAGTATTTCATTTATTGAATAAAACTTGACACACCGAAGAAAACTTGAGACTTGCATAAAGCGTTCTTCTCTTTCTCTCTCTCTCTCTCTCTCCGTCTCCGAAGGACGAGCTCGGCAATCTCCGCCCTAGCCTAGATCTTCTCCGCCGATCATGGTTCTCTCTCTCTCTCTCTCCTCTCTCTCTCTTTCTCTTTCTCTCACACACACAAACACGCACGCATACGCAGCAAAATATTTACTCTGATAATTTTTTTCATGCTGATAAGAAATGCTGTAAATCTGTTACTGTATAACCTTGGGCATGCTGTTATTTCAGTGGCACCACCTGTATCCGCTGATCTCTCCAGAAAATTCTCTATTTTTTTTTTTTTTTAAATTATTATTGTTTATTTATATTTTAGCCTCTTTTTTGTCGATCATAGCTGGATTCAGTTATTCCTTAAAACTCATTCCTAAACTTATCAACCCGAGGCTCGCAAAAGTTCAATTTGTATATCTGAAGCATGGATTTTAGATTAGTTGAAATTCGATAATCAGTGTTTCTGTTTTAGAATTTACTTGAATTATATATATATTTTTTTATCATAAATCCCTTGCACGAATTTCTATGGTGTTGCTGATTATAATTTATAAGTAATTATGATTATTTTTTTTGGTTTCTTTTAGTCATTGCTGCTGTTAATTATTTATGTGAATGAGCCTCCTCTAATTATCTCAAATTAAGGTGGTGTTAATAGCTGTAGTCTCTGTTTATTAAAATAAGAAAATGGGAAATGAAGATTGTATTGTACTGTTGAAAAGATTACGAGGAATAGACAGCACTCGAACACAGCAACCCGAAAATTTTAATTTTGTGTGGATCGTATTTTGTAGTGCATGCAACCTTGACATATAACTAAAAATAATATTATCCTAATTCTCATATTTACAGTTTTACAATGATTTTTCGTATATTGAGAAATTTACTTTTACCAGGATTTGTGCCCGTCTGTGAAGAATATTCTCCTTCTCGATTCAGAAGGGAAACGTATCGCTGCTAAGTACTTTTCAGATGACTGGCCTACCAATACTGCAAAGGAAGCTTTTGAGAAGACTGTATTTACCAAGACTCAGAAGACAAACGCTCGGACTGAAGGTGATGCTGCTCTACGACTTTAAAATTTTGCATAATTTGGTAGCAATTATTTGAATTATTTGAATTCTATTATTAATTCCAATTTACGACGAGCATGCTTGATTATAATTAACAGAGCTTCCGCCTCAAAAGTATATCACTAATATACATACTAAATTAGACGTAATTATGTCAATATTGATACTCTTTCTGTGGCTGGTTACCTACCTCATGCCATTTTCTAAGTTTAGCTGTATCTTGTTTGCCAATAATTGAATTATAATTGTATAATCTTTTATTTTCATTTTGAATCGTCATTTGTCTTATTTAGAATTCCTCCTTTATTTCTTGAGGCTGCTTGAGACGGTGGTTTTTTTATGTTAAGTTTGGACTCGAGTTTCCTTTTCTGATCTTTTATTCCCTTGTCACAGTGGAGATAGCTATGTTTGAGAACAACGTTGTTGTCTACAAGTTTGTTCAAGATCTTCACTTTTATGTTACTGGAGGTGAAGATGAAAATGAAGTCATTTTGAGCACTGTTCTTCAGGGTTTCTTTGATGCCATCGATATTCTGCTTAGGTAGTTACCATGCATTCATTATTATTTGCCTCTGGTGATATTTGTTTGCTTCTTTATTTAATTCGTATATGTTTTCTCTCCTTTCTTTCTGGCTGCTTGTTCCAGGGGCAATGTTGAAAAGAAGGAAGCACTTGAGAATCTTGATTTGATTCTCCTATGCATTGATGAAATTGTTGATGGCGGGTAAGCATAGGCTTCTCTACTATGCTTCTCTACCACACACACACACACACACACATGCTCACATACATATATATAAATGCTTGAGCTTAGTAGTATCTAGAGCTAATGACTTTAGAAATTCTCGATGATAATTGTTGTTAGACATGCTTCTTCAACCCTTGCCTTTAGATTTCACAATCAAATTGTTTCCCCATCCCATGTCATACATACAGTAACTGAACGAGAGTATTTGAAAAAATAATTTTTCTTTGTTTCGTATGCTGAGAAAAAGGTTAATAAAATGTTTGACCATGTTAATTTTATAACCTTTTGATTTATGCAGAATTATCCTTGAAACCGATGCAACTACTATTGCCGGTAAAGTTGCAAGTCACAGCATTGATTCCGGAGCACCACTTTCTGAGCAGGTGTGTAGCTAAAGCTTTTTATTACTTCTCAAATTTGGATCCATGGCTAGAAACTAAATAAATATATGTTTTGTGGAAACTGACGATCTCGGAATTCGCCTTATGCAGACATTAAGTCAAGCAATAGCAACTGCACGCGAACATCTTACAAGGTCTCTTCTAAAGTGACAACTGTCCATGGATTAATCCGCAAACGCTTTTGAAGTTGCCTATTTCTCTTTACGGGTAAAAATACAAACATATCGTAGGTAGGAAACGAAAAACGAGATATTTGCAGGATGCTGATCAAATTTCCAATACTTAGTTCTGCAATTTGCCTGAACTTTCTTAAATGTGTCGGGAAATTGATCCAATGAACTTATATGGCAAAGCAACTTGATCTAATTGTATTCTTTGTGCCCGGTTTAAACTTTACTTGATCTTTACAGTATATAGGTAATTTTTTTTAATTGCAGTATATGCAGTATAATTTTTTTACTGCATATAATTTTAGTCATTTAGATAATTATAAAAGCTTCAATCAAGAAGCATTGAAGATACTTCTTCACATGTTAAAAGATCTAATCAACGTATTTCATAACAAAGAAAAACCACGAAATCATAAACTAAAAACGGTATAATCCTCACATTACCGGAAACTAACATCTAAACTAAACGATGACTGTTAATGTAGTCCCAAAGGTCACAATTACCAGTTTCTATTGTACACAGAATAGTAATACAACTCATCCAGATGAAAAAAGAAAATAAGAAAAAAGAAAAACGCAACTCGAAAGGGTTAGAGAGGATCAACCAACCTTCAGATAAAAACTAACAGAACGAACTACTCACTAAAGGGAAAATGGATCTAAATTGTGAAGTGCATGTGGAAAAAGATAAGACATGTCTCCACTAACACAAAATCAGCACCCATGTTCCTAAAATTACATCAACAACTAATAAAAACGCCCACCGTTTGCAACAGCCTGAATAGGTGTAAAAGGGTATTTCCGGAAAAACCCACATCATATTAGGCTGGAAAAACGAGGATGTAAAAATCAGTAGTTGTTAGGCCACATTTGAGACTGCTTCGGCTGTCCTTGCGATCCGGACACATCTCTAGGGTTCTGCAGCTGATCGAGCGACATTCCAGTCTGCGAATGGTAGTAATTAGGGTTTCCATAATTCTGCGACTGCTGCTGCTGCTGCTGCTGATGTGGCGCCTGACCTTGCCTAAATCCACCTAATTGTTGATTAGTTTGTTGTGCCTGCAAATTGTAAAGCGTGCTAGCTGGAACACCTGACATCGTTCTTGAATTATGCCCTTGAAGCCACACTGGCGAATTCTCACTCTGAATAAAAAAACAACCGATTCAAGATTTCAAGTCCAAGAAAGAAAGAAGCATATACATATAGTCATATACATATACATATACATACCTGCTGCTGAAGTGAAAGTAAGTGGCTTCTTTCCTTGTACTGAGCATTCAAAACATCGTCGTAGCTTAAAGCCGATTCAGATAAGGGGGCAGCAGATTGAGGGTTCATTTGGTAATTTCCGGGAATTGAAGTGTTGTTACCAAAACCACCATATCCAGAAGCAGATTGAGGCAAACTGCTGATGGAAGAAGCGCTGCTTTTATACTGAGGGAGTAGTGCCGCTAGAGATTGGTGGTAAGCGCTGCTGCCGGCAAGTGATTGCTGAAAAGCAGAGGGCATGTATGTGTAGCTCTGGGGCAAGAAAGGGTAGCCAATCATATTGGGGAACTGCCCCATTGGAAGATTGGTCTGAGAATATTGGGGATGTAGAGCAACTTGTTGAGGCAGAGCATGTCCAGAAATGGCTTGTTGACCAGGTTGTGACGATGACAAACCGACAGTCTTTAATGCCTGAAATACCCAAAAAACACAAATTTTTTTTGTGCAATTTTCTTTTTTACCAAACCAGAACTAAAGCATGTCCAACTATGAGGATGGTTTGATTATGTGTATAGTTAGGTACCTCAGGCATAGGAAGTGCTGATACACCCATGGAAGAGACAGCGTTTCCATATTTAGCAGACATAGATTGCGTCGCAGAAAATGGTGAGTAGTGAAGATCAGATTCTCTAGTGGGCTGAACATTTGCATTCAACAAACTGCCCGGTAGTGAATTCGCGTGTGAGTGCTGTCAAGAAAATCATCAGAAAGAAGACGCATTTAAATATTATAAACATTGTTCAAATTGCTTTCAGAATCGAACATAAGAAAATAGAACTTTCAAATTCAGGAAAACACTTTCTTTTATTCCCGTTTCAGGTGCAATCTTAGAAATCAAATCTACTTCTTACTCCTAAAACCAAAAGCAGGCAAAAACATTTACCATAACATTTGAGAACGGAGCAACATTTTGCATCTGGGAACTTCTTTGATTAAAAGCGGCATGTAAGTGTTGGGCGTCATCGAATGTGGAATAACCAGCATTCGAAGGAAAAGTATATTGACTTCCGTGAGTCACTTGAGCACTCTCAGGCTTCAACAACTCGTCTCGCTGTGAAACAGAAGATACATCATAGTTCTCTCCACTAGCACCATTTCTACCAAACAAACTACCATCAGGAGCATTTGTACGTGCATCATCAACATAATACTCCGAACGTCTGCAAAAAGAGGCGGACAAGATATTTTATGACTTCTCAAATTCGAAAAAAAATACCATATCAAAAAATATTACTAATTCCTATACCTAGTGTCCAGATGCTCAGCAGATGAAATATCAGCCTCCCTATGCGCCTCTTCCAAGTTGTTTTTTACAAGCATAGATGTCTTAGTCCCAGAAGGTTTTGCAGCACCAAAGCTACCAAAGCTCAAGTGTGAACAATCTGCAATTTGAACTTGCAAATGATCTGGAATAACTACCGAAGGTGCATTTCCCACATATGAAAATCCCCTGTTTTCTTTTGTTACACTTAGCTGTTGCAAGTTTTTGGCAACTGACGACACAGAAGCACCAACTTCCTCATCTGCAACATACATAAAAGAGTTTTTAAGCTCAAGAAACTGGCAACAAAAATCCAAAATTAAGATTGATTGAACCATAGAAGTGAAGTAGTTAACCCTGTTCTGCATGCGATTAAAGTGCCATTTATATAAAAAAAATCCAGACCAAGTTAAACAAACACATCAACATATACTTCTTGGACATTGCAAACAAGGACTATAATCGGAAACTACTTCTATGACCCAATACTGGAAGCTCGATAATGTTATTTCAGCTTTGATTTTTTTTTTTTTATGTGAAACATTTACCTTTATCCATATGGTATAAGCAGCACACATTATCAATATCAAAATCATAATTCATAATACAAGTACTTTGCCTAAACTTTACAGACCTTAAGAGAATTTTAATACTTTACAGACATTAGAAATAAAATAATGAAAAAAAAGTCACCTTCATGATGCTCGAATTCGGGGTCCCTTTCATGATGCTCAAAGTCGTGATCCCTTTCATGGTGCTCGAACTCGTGAGCCTTTTCGTGATACTCGAAATCACAACCCTCAGACTGATACGAGCCCACGGTTTTTTTAAACAAGTCATCCTCAAATACAGATGCACCTCTTGGAACATCCTCTGGAATCTTCCTACTGGTATCATCTATCTTTCGAATTTCATCTGCCTCCGATTGGTGATTAATGCTGTCAGATGATAAACCAGATGCCTCTGCATGTAGCTCAGAATCCACACTGTATTCCGGGATAGAAATCAGGTTTGTGGGAGCTGGTTTCTCTATGGAAGGCCAGTCTTCGGTTGTGGGAACAGGCTGACCTGAAGAAGCTTCCCACTGATCCTGAATATTGTGATGAGATGCGTTTGGTGCTTTACTATGTGGTCTGCCCATCCTCACAATGTCAGCCATAGACACCTGACCAGTAACACCACCTGCCGCCCAGGCAGACTGATGTCCAGAAGGTGGCTGTACAACAGATGCCGTGCCATTACCTGTCTGAAACCAGGATCCTTTATTTTCAGCTGTTGCCCCAACACTGCACGGGCAAAAGACAATCAAGAACAGCAAAGAACCCGCTAAGACGAAACTCAGAACTTCATTCTCACTCTAAGAGTTATTGTCTATCGAAGGACGATCTAAATTTCAGATTTAACATTGAGCAAGAGAATTATTGAATGAATGATCTTCTAGGTTGGAAAACCCGCTAACACATATGCAATTATTGATGATCTTTACTCTCTTGACCGCACTAAAATCTTGAGAAGGAAAAGATAATGGGTAATGGGTTCACAAACACATAAACAAAGAAGAATATCATGATGTAAATGTAATTCTATATTGGCTTGAGAACTATAGAAAAATGGGTTCCACACTTAAAACCACCATGTGATGAATCACAAAAGACCAAAAGACACCATAACAAAATGATCTTTATAACCTTATATTCTCTAGGCTAGAGATCCAATTATATGTAACAAGTTCAAACAGAACAAACCTGAAGCCTGATTGTTCTCTGCTTCTGGTATTTCCTGATATACCAGGAGCTGAAGACGAAGAACTTCTATAAGTTGATCCATTTTCTTTCTTATTAGTTGACTTCCCATGCAATGGAGGCTCTGATCATGAAACAATTTGGTTAAGCACGTCTAAAGTAGTCAATAACTACGTTATTCTGGTAAAATACTGAAGCTAACGTACCAGAAGCATTATACTGAGATGCTGATGAACCACGGCTAAGATGTCGATCTGCAGCACTCTTGCTAGCTCGATTTGAACTGTTATTCGCACCACGAGGCCTACTCTCAGAGCTATCCTTGCCCTGAATTTTTTTTGTGAAGGAACAAATGTTACTCCAGTTCCATAAAACTCAATCACATGATGATCTCAAAGAAAAAAAAGAAAATGTTATAACATTGTACTCATTAAAAGCTGCATGATTCAGAGAAAGAAAATAGTCCCATTGCTAATCAACAGCCATCAAAATTCCCACCCAATTTGTTCCAACGGATTCAAAAAACACATATTGTCCACTTTTTAAAACAATCATGTATATTGTACGAAAGAAGATTCTGCCATCAAGAACTCGTGGTCAAATTACGGAGTGAGAACAGTCACGAACCTCTTTTTTCTTTTCTCGTTTGCTTTTCACCTCATGGAAAGTATCTAAACAATTGTAAAGCACATGTTAGAGAGAAATTCATTTAAATAAAAATAATGTAACAATTTCCTCTTGTAAGTGTAGCATAATCTATGGCACAATCTATTTCACATTACAAATAGCCGAGCTAGCAAAAGCAGTCAACAGATGAATGCCCCATCCACCCACACACATTCTGATAATACCCCATCCACATCGAAAAACAACGCTTCTTGAAAGTTCTAGTACAACAAAAATACTCAAAACAAGGAGGGTTTAACCTTCACATTCTAGTTTATGATTTGCCATCCTAGACCTCTTGAGAAAGAAAAAAAAAATCTTTTTTTTCAGATCAACTCATGCAATATACTTACCATAGAAAAAAATCGGGGAATTGAAAATTCCTCAATGAACACAACAAAAACGGAAATAAAAAAAAACTTAGGGTTCTTGAGTAAAAAACCTTGAGAGAGTAGGCGACTGATAGCCTCGTTGGGGTCCATATTGCAATCCTTAAGAGTAGCGTAGATCTCCGCCTCAGGGCAGTTAACTATCTCCTTCAAACTCTGGACCACCATCCGTGACCCCGCCGGAACGGGTAGTACTCCTCCGCCACCACCGGCGGCGCCGCTTCCTCTTCCTGCACTCATCCTTGTAAAAATAGATCTAATCCTGAAAACGCAACGCCTTCGCCTTATCTTCCTTCAATTCACTCCTCCCCCCCTTTTGTCCGATTTACTAATTAATTTAAAAAAATAGAGAAAAAAAATAACAAAACACAGACGCACGAACACGACAAGTGAGTTCCGGCCGAGTGCAGGCAGTAATGGCAATTTATACGGCGGACGAAGTGGCCGTAACGGAGTGGAGATTTTATCTGGAGTTTCGGAAACCCTTGTCTCTCTCTCTCTGCTTTCTCTCTCTTCCGCGGTGGGTTTCGTTTGCTTTTGGTTTTGCTGAATTTATCTTTTTCTTTTTCCTTTTTTTTTTTTTCTGTGGGTGTTCTCTTAAATAAATACGGTGGACACGAATAAGGGCTTTTGCCTTTTATTATTTAACACTTTTGAATTTCAGCTTTGGAGCCCATCTTCTGATTTTGTGCTAAGTTTTTATTTTTGGATTTTTAAATTTAATTCCAATTTCTTTTAAATTAATATTGAAATTTTTGAAATCGAAAAAAGAAATTACCAAAAAAATAAAAATCGGATTGGAATTGACGGAATTCAAAAATATATAATAATATCAATGCTTAAAGTGTAAAAAAAATCCTAATTTTAGGAAAATATTTTGAAATTTGAAATTGTGTTGAAATTCAAAATCTATTACAGTAGAATCTCAATAAATTAATAATTTCGATTAAGTAATAGTTTCTTCCGGTCCCGACTCAGTAAAAACCTACTAAATTATTAGTTCGACAATTTAATATTTCGCTAAATTGACAGAATTTTGCTAGTCTCGAGTCGCGACTGTATTAATTTATAGATGTTTAACTTTATGTAATGTTCATTAAAACAAACGAAATTTTGAAAATCGATTTTTATAAAATTCAAAATGAACAATAATGTTCTATAATCGGATCAAAATTCAGAATTTTATTTCCAATTTACACCTCTAGTCAATTTCAGCATATTATAAAATAATATTTTAGAAACATAGTTATTTTTTGTTTGAATAAAACTAAAAAATATAGTATTTATATTTCTAAATATGATGTTCTTCATTTTTATTTAAAAAAAATGTATGCACATTTAAATATTGTAATACTTGATTTTTAGATTTATCAAAGTCAACTATATATTTAATGCAATTAATTCATTTTGTAAAACGTTTATCCTTTAATAATTACCCCATTCTTTAATTTATTACATTGGTGAATTTTATTTAATTAATTCTTAAATACTAATTATAGACACTACTTCCATAACCCATTGGGCTTCTTGTGTAAGTAACAATCATTGGGCTCACGTGCACATCACGTGGGTAATATGCAATGGGCTTCTTGTGAACCATTGGGCTTCTTATGTAAGTAACCCAATATGCAATGGGCTCACGTGCACATCACGTGGGCATGTCCGCCGTTCTTCGTTCCCGGGATTCTTCTCCAGTACAGTTCGACGTCGTTTCTGCAACTCTTTGTATCAGCTTATCAGCTTATCGATTTTATATATAAATATTAATTGCTCGTTCTTCAATTTTTTTTTTTTGTTTCGTTTACTGCACGCGCTCTTGTTTATGTTGATATGTTTATCGACTTCTAATCAATTTTTTGAATTTTTTTTTTGTTCGTGAAAGCGAGAACGAGAATTTAGGTATATATTTATCTGGATAGATAGAGAAGCTAAATTCCTCCTTCATTTAGTGTGTGTGTGTGTGTGTGTGTGTGTTCTTCGATTTAGGGCAGATTTTGTTAGCCATTGTTACAGTGGTGAAAAGAATTATATTTAATTGTTTTGTAAATTAAAAAAAAAGGGGGAAAAACAGATGGAATTAGGGAAATCTGTAATTGAGGGTTTCAATTTTATGTGCAATGTTCAGTTCTGGAGAATGGCTGTGCTATGGACATTTTCTATTATATTTTCCTATTTGAAATTGTTCCGTGAAAGCTTCTTCTCCCAGAAATCGAAATGTTACCCTCGATTTTCTCCGAAAGACTCTATTTTTACCACTAAGTCTGTGTCGAGGCCCGTCTGCATAATAACCGGAGTATGTTAATTGTTTTTTTTTTCTTGCTGATGTTAATTGTTAATTATTATTACCTTTTAAATTTAAAGATCATGGTTAATAATTTGCAGGCCACATCTGGTTTGGGTGCTGCTGCTGCATATGCTCTTTCAAAGGAGGGCTTTTACATTGTTCTTGGTATTCAAAACCCCAACTCATATATTGTGTAGATTTCTTTGTTTGTTTCGAATCGATTTATGGTTACTGATCTTGTTAGGTTTCAATATTTTATACATCAGTTCTCGTAATTAAATGGAAGACCGATGTAATCCTCTTCTGTCGGTTTGCACTATTTTGAATACATTTAATTCTCGTACTTGCAGTCGGGAGATCATCTGAACTATTATCGAAGGTGCAGTACTTGTGTATTTTTGCATTGAAGAAACTCCCATTTTTACGGTGTTGATTTTTTCGACCGAAATATGTGCTTTAGGCTATATCCGATATCAAGAATCGAAACGGCGATGCTTGTCTTAAAACTTTCGAGGTTGATTTATCTTCGTTCAAGTCAATTATCGAGTTCAAACACTCACTTGAGAAATGGCTGTGGGATTCAAACATGCATCCTTCTATTCAACTCCTCGTAAATAATGCTGGAATCTTGGCAACTTCTGCTCGATCCACTTCTGAAGGATTCGACCAGTTATATTCCCTTATCCCAATTTTTTTTTTTTTTGTTCATTTATTTATTTGGTATGCAGAAAGGAAGCGAGGATTGATTTTTAACAACTTTAACGTATTGAATTTAGAATTAACGTGGTCTGGATAAAGATGAACAAGGATTAACTCGTAATTTCTCAAATTTGCAGGATGATGGCTACTAATTATATCGGTGCATTTTGTCTCACCAAAGCCTTACTCCCCCTTCTAGAACATAGCCCAGTTCCTTCTCGTGTAGTCAATGTCACATCATTTACTCATTGGAACGGTAATATCTCAATTTTCACGCGAAACAATTCCGAAATAGATGGTGTTCAATATTCTTATTCATTTATTATTATTTTTTTCCGGCTTTAGTTTGTTGCATGCAGGTTAACAAAGAAACAGTCTCTGGCAAGTGTTTTATGAAATCGAAACCCTACCCCTATGCACACATTTACGAGTATTCAAAACGTAAGCATATGTTATCTCATACAAGTCGAAAAAGATTCATTTCACATTACTCCATTGCTAATATGTGACACGTCATATGTTCACAGTGTGCATGCTACTCTTTTCGTACGAGCTTCACCGACAAGTTGCTTTAGTGGACAAATCTCGTCACCTCTCTGTTCTGTAAGTGAGTTTATCGTTATAAGTTTATTACTGTTATTACGTAACCAAAAAAAATAAAACTGCATTTTCTGATTGGTTTTTTTTTTTTTTTTGGAATTTTTTCAACATCCAAGTGCTGTGGACCCCGGAGCAGTAAAAACGAACATAATGCGAGAAATTCCATGGTGCTTTTCATGGATGGCTTTTAATGTATTGAAACTTTTGGGTGTTCTTCAATCTCCTGAAAATGGTGTATGCTCGATTCTTGATGCTGCACTCGCCTCTCCAGTACGTATTATTGTAAAATTTATAAAATCATACCGAAATTTGCTAAATTACTTGGAAGTTATTGATTAATGTGGCCTTAATTATTTTAAATCATTTTTTTAGGAAGTATCGGGAGTTTACTTCTTTGGAGGAAACGGCAGAAGTATGAACTCTTCTCTGCTTTCTTACGATACTAGGCTTGCGAAGGATCTTTGGGCTGCTTCGTGCAATTTTTTCGAAGAAATGGGAAATGAATAGAATAGATTAATAACATTTGATTCTTGTTTGTAGAAGTTAATAAGCATTGTTTTTTTATGAACACTATACAAATTACAATAATTTTGTGACTAAAAGAAATATATTGTTATATTTGAGGAAATATGAGAAACAAACTTAACCAAGACTCGCGTGCAATAACTTGTAAATTACACGAAAGTTTTCGCCTCCTTCCAAAACCTTGAAACATCCCCCCCAAAAGCATTTATATTAAATAATTAAGCTTTCAATTGTAAAAATCTATATCTACATATATATATATAGGGGGCAACTATTTTGAATACTAATTTTTGCTTAGTTGAATACTACCTAGTTGAAAACCACAATTGAGTACATATTTTTAAGTTTTTTCTTACTTTAATACCAAAATAAAAATAAAAGTACAAAAATACCCTTTCATACAAAATACTAATTACATTAATTTTTCTTTGAAATTACCTATTTGAAAACCAAATAAAAAAAAAAGAAAAAAAAAATCAAACACAAAAACTCCCTCCGTCAACCTCACGCCGCCCGACGCCGCCGCCGCCGCCCAACCATCGCCGCCGCCGGACGCCGACGCCAAACACCGCCTAACGCCGCCCACGCCGCCCAACGTCGCCCAAAGCCGCCGCCGTCGTCTTCTTCGAATAGTAAGTTATAGTTGTTTCGATTTTTTTTTTCTTTAATATTTATTTAAGATTTGAATGTTTGATATGGGTAATTAGGATTTGGTTGTTTTAGGTTAGAATGATCGTTAATTAGTAATGGGTGCATCTGATTTCAGTCGATTTGAGCATTGATTTGAGATTCGTGGGTCGGTTCTTCGTTCTCCATTTTCGACATGTAGATGTCGAAAATGGTGAAAGGGTTGCTTTTGATTTTGTTATTTTCGACAGTTTACTGTCGAAAATGGGTTTCATTTTCGACAGCAACCTGTCGAAAATTCAATCCATTTTCGACAGTAAACTGTCGAAAATTACCCCATATTTCGACAGGTTTCCGTCGAATTTAAACTGTGAAATTTTTTTTTTTTTTTTTTTTTTTTTTTTTTTTTTTTTCCTATTTTTATTTGCTTGTGTTTATATTATGTATATTAATTTTTATTTGTGTGTTATTTTGCAGTGGAAGAACCACGTCAACCTCGTATACCTCCGACTGTCTCGAACCGTAAAAAGAGGAAGGAATTGTCCGATAAAGGCAAGGGCATAGTAGTCACGACCAAGAAAAAGACCACGACCAAGAAGAAGTCTGGAGAGGGTTCTTCGTCAACGAATCCGGTGCCGGCTGTACATTCGACTGTACAAGTTGGTGATTCGAGCAATGAACCGGTCCTAGGTCCCGAGATACCGGAATTGTACACAAAATTTGATAAGCACATTGCTTATCATATTGTGAACGGAGGGCCAGATCGTTCGGAGCGCGGCTCAGAATTTCGAATACGAAATCACACAACAACTTTGAAAGGTTGGGAGCCGGCGCCGTTTATTAAAGATGTAGTACAAAGATGTGGTTTAATGTCAGTTGTACAGGCATCGTACAACACTGTGGACGGCCATCTACTTAGAGCCTTCGTAGAGAGATGGCAGCCAGCTACCAACACATTTCACTTACCTGTTGGAGAGATGACCATCACACTTGACGATGTGAGTTCGTTGGTCGGTTTGCCAGTTGTTGGGCGTACCGTATCTTGCGAGCGTTTGGTCCGTGATTCCAAAACCATTCCCAGTACTTTGATGTTCCAGTTGCTAGGTGAGTACCCGGACGATGTAAACAAGAAGAAAGCGGTCAAGTTGGAATGGTTGAAGGCTAAATTTAGCAAAGTGACCCTGAGAGATAGTGCAGAGAAGAGGACGTACGCCATTCGGGCGTATTTGTTATTTTTGCTCGGGTGTACTATACTGTGCGACAAGACAGGCAACATGGTAAGCGTTGAGTACCTAAATCTTGTAGCTGATTTGGATCGGATCGGCGAGTATGCTTGGGGCACTGCATGTCTTTGCCGGTTGTACGATGAGCTTTCCTCAGCCTCACAAAAATCAACGAACTCGATGGCTGGCTGGCTGACGCTCTTTCAGTCATGGATTTACGAGCACTTTCCTTATTTGGGGGGTGGCACATTGAAGACGGAATTCGAGGGGCCATTAGCGAGCCGATGGGAGCCTCAGTCAAAGACTACTTCAACGCCTGAACGAGCGTCGTACCTGCGATCTCGATTAGATGATTTGATCCCCGATCAGGTAACATACCACTTTAATAATCTGTTATTACTACTTAGGTTATATGTTTTACATCTAATTTTTTATTTAATATGTTTTACTTAGGTTATATGGTCACCGTATACGGCTATTCGTGATCGTTTCCCGATGCCAGATTCTGCTTGGTTTAGTGGGATGATATGTTGCATGGACCACTTCGAGGCATATCATCCGGACAGAGTCTTGAGGCAGTTCAACCGGGTGCAAATCATTCCAGGTCGTGCATACATGTCAAAAGATATGTACAAAGCTCTAGTTAGCAAAGGTCGACCGGTCCAGAACTCAATTTTCGTTGCGTACGGCGAACGATTCTCTGATCGGTGGGAGGAGTATTGTCTGGACGAGGAGTCGAGGTCCGTTGAAATTGAACTCGGGGAGGCGGACACTTCGCCGGACTACATGAATTGGTTCCGACCCAGATGCATGTTACAACTGAGTAGGCATGGAGCCCATCCTACTCGACCCCAGGCGGATCGACCTCGACCCCATGAAGCTCGTCCAGAGGGTGGTACCGATAAGGAGGTCCAACTTTCACAAATTTTGGAGTTGGTGAAGGGTACACTTAGCGAGGTACGGGGACTTGCGCCATCCGACGCTCATACGGTCATGTGGGGGACCCTAAATGATATTGTCAGATTGATCGAGCCGGATGCCCCACTTCCACCTCCTTCGAGGTCGTCGGATGCCCCACCACCACCACCTCCAGGTAGCTCGATAGGGCCACTTCCACCGCCATCGAGCTCGTCCGATGCCCCACAGGCGGTTGTGAAACGCGTGTTTAGTAGGAAGAAAAAACACAGGATTAGTCTTGTATTTTTTTAGATGGGATGTTGTTTGATGGATTTTATTTGATTACCTTGTTTTGTTCATTTAGTTTTATATGGATTTTGGTTGTTTTGAATGAAAATATTTTTGATAGTTTGAATTTTTTTTTTTTTTGTCCAAAAACACTTAGAATATTTTTTTTATCTTACATTGCAATATATTTGGGGTTAATTTCACAAAAAAAAAAAAATTGCAATTTTTCCAAAAAAAAAAGTGTGATACAGATCCAATTCGACAGCTAGCTGTCGAATTTAGATCTGAAATTCGACAGCTAGCTGTCGAATTTCATCTGTATCAAATTTTTTTTTTTTTGAAAAAATTGCAATTTTTTTTCAATTTGTCCAAAAACACTTAGATGTGTTTTTTATGTTACATTGCAATATATTTGGGGTTAATTTCACAAAAAAAAAATTTGCAATTTTTTCAAAAAAAAAAAAAAATTTTGATACAGATCAGATTCGACAGCTAGCTGTCGAATTACTATGTGAAATTCGACAGCTAGCTGTCGAATTTCATCTGTATCAATTTTTTTTTTTTTGAAAAAATTGCAATTTTTATTTTTTTTTTCCAAAAACACTTAGATGTGTTTTTTATGTTACATTGCAATATATTTGGGGTTAATTTCACAAAAAAAAAAAAATTTGAATTTTTTTCAAAAAAAAAAAAAAAATTTGATACAGATGAAATTCGACAGCTCACATAGTAATTCGACAGCTAGCTGTCGAATTTGATCG